AACAAACAAATTATGATTTTATATATTTTTTTAATGAAGTATATAAAAATAAAGTTTATATAAAACAAAGCAAATATAATAATAAAAAAATAAAGTTTACAATTATAAAACAAAGCAAATAAGCATTAATTAATGTCTAAACCAAAAAAAATTACTAATTTAGTTAACAATCTTTTTTAAATTTTTAATAGCCTCCTTCTTCTTCTTGGACACATTTTTTACCTATTTATAAGGCATTTTTTTATATAAAAAAATGTATTGGTTATTTTTTTATATAAAAAAATGTATTGGTTATTTCTAAAGTTAACTAACTTACGTCAGGATCCTTAGGAAACGAGTGTAATACTGCCTCGTTACTTGTATTTCTACAATTAACAACAGCACATTTAAACACCATTGTAAAAAAGTCAAACTAACAAAATCGCACAAAAGGAAAACTTGTTTGTCTAGAACAAAGCTGGAACAAAACCTTCGGTCATCTATGAACACAACAATAATGCGGTCTCTAAAGTTTAAACGAAAAATTGACAAATTGTCAAATTGACAAAGATGCCACCTAAAAAAGCGTGTTATTTAAATTCTGCTGCTTCAGCGCTATAGTCGATCCTATCCGCAACTAATTTTAAGGTCTGAAAAGAAAGGGGGGAGTGAGCATAGCATGGTCTGGCATTGGCATTTTAATAATTTAAAGGAAGTAACCTGGGTAACATAGGGATAGGTATGTAGGTAGGTAGGTATAACTTATGCAAAAAACTTCGAAATTTGGAAAAACACAAGCAAACTGAAAAAATCAAGAATATTCCTCATAATGCGTTTTTAATGTTTTTCAAGAACTAATTTTCATCATTTGATCCTCGATTTGATCATTCAGCGACATGATAATAACGTACTAAAGATGCAAAACACAGTAAAAACCAGCAATCGGATTTAATTGAGACATTTAACAGCCGGGAATTGTTTTCGAATCTTGATTCTTAGTGATTTTCGTTTTATCTGAAACTTAAATTTGACAACTGAATCACAATCAGGAGGTCAAAATTATGAAGAAAACATATTACGAACGTAAATATCGGTTTAGGTTTAGTTTTTGCAAACTTTTACAAAAATGTCATTTTCAAAAAGTGGTCTTAGCTTAGGCCCTCTGAAAATAATGGAAGTTTGTTGCTTGTTCAGAATTATTTAAGAAACAATCTTTTACCATCTTATCTTCTTGTTCCTTAAAAGACTAAGTGTATTGCGGCAATACTATTGCCTACAAAAAAGCCTTAAATGTACTCTTTTGGGAAAAAAATCATATTTTCGTGTCTAAGATTCCAATTCGAAAAATTTGAAAAACGTTTTAATGTAACACATAATACTTCATTATTTCAAAGTAAAAGCAAAAAAAAAATATTTTTTTACAAACGGGGCTTGGATGAAGTTATTGAAATTTTTCACCGGTAAACATATCACCCTGTAGGAAATTTACTTGACGAACCGTGAGCTTCATATCTATAGCATGAATTGCCAGAGGATGAGGCTAAAAGACATCACAGACCAAAATAAAATCGTTTAAGAAACAAAAAAGTTATGTCGTTTTGAAAAAGAACGAACTTTTTGGTCGCGACACATTGATATTAATTATTATATTAATATTTACCCAATAAATAAATTATAATAAAGACTTTATTTTTTATGTTGCAATCGGCTATTTAGATATATCTATATTTTTATTCAGTTGTTTTTCGATTTTTTATAATTAGTTATTTTGCATAGGTACCTAAAATCAATAGTTTTCAAGATAGCCCCAAAAGTAGCCTCTAATTTTTTTGTTATTATGTTTGCAACATTGTTTAAATAATTAAATTTTTAAAGGTTTTTCAACAAATACCTTGAGATAAACCACTTAAAATTAGACAAACTTTAAACAATAATAACGTTTTTATTATAAATGTAAAACCCTGTATGTTTTAACATAATCAAATAGAACATTAAAGAATCTTTCGATTAGTATTGTAATAACTGTTTCATAAAGTTAAAATTTCAGAGACATTTAACAATTTCTAATATTAATACTATTTTATATCAACAAACCTGTGAAATTCTACATGTGGTTTAATCGTTTCCATGGTTACCACCAAATCTGTCATTGTTTAAAATTAATTAAAATATTTGATTAAAAAAATAATAACTCAAAAAATATTGACTTTAGGATATGGTAAAGCCATTTTACTCAGAATTTTATGTAGAATTAAAAAATTAAAGATATATGAGGTGTCCTGTTTGAAATAACAAAGTTAAGGCCATTTCTGGTAAAACAGGAAGTATTATTTTGTTTAAAATAATTTAGGAAAAAAGTCTAAAGCGAATAATTTACGGTATTAAAATTTTAAATCGATGCCTTTTGCGGTTCCCTAGAAACTTCTAACGGACTACGTGCGTGAAACACCCTGTATATTAAACGTCATTTATGTGTTATGCTATACTAAGTATAAGTCCTAATAACAAAGTTAAGGCCATTTCTGGTAAAACAGGAAGTATTATTTTGTTTAAAATAATTTAGGAAAAAAGTCTAAAGCGAATAATTTACGGTATTAAAATTTTAAATCGATGTCTTTTGCGGTTCCCTAGAAACTTCTAACGGACTACGTACGTGAAACACCCTGTATATTAAACGTCATTTATGTGTTATGCTATACTAAGTATAAGTCCTAATTATTAATAAAAGATACAACAATATTTCTATAAAAATGACAAAATGTACTAAACTAAACATTTATGAATACTGCTACTGCAATTCAAAACTGATCCTGGCCACAGAAACATCATTTGCATGAAAAAGTTAATATATCAAATAATAGACAAATTCATTTTTAACACAGTGAAGAAAAAATAAAAATAAAAACAAAGTTGTCAATGCACGAAATTTTTTTTTTGAAAAAAGTACTTCATTTAGATGTAGAAATTAGGTAAAAAAGTTTCAATCGATTTCTTGAACCCTTGCAAATCGACCGTTCGATCCTTTCGTGAAACCGTAGTTAAAGAAAAAATCGTTAGTTTAGACCAGCGGTTCTTAACCTTTTTGGCTGGCGACCCACAATTCAAAAATATTAGAAGCTCGCGACCCGATAAAAAATAAAATCATCAATTTTCTACATTTTTTTTAATTTAAAGTAAGGATGCAGTGATTACGGCGAGCTTTTTCAAAAAGTCCCGCCAGTCCCGCGACCCATCTCGATATAGCCCGCGACCCAAATTTGGGTCGCGACCCGAGGTTAAGAAACGATGGTTTAGACAATGCTCATTTTTTAAGCGACGGTCCGGCGACGCAGTATCGCAATAGAAAAATGTTTTTTTTTAATAGGAATGTACTCGGGAACGTATCTACAGCAACTTTTATCTGCAAAAACGATCAGATGGCACTACAGTGAAATTGGACATGGAAAAGGTGCCCCTGATGGGGTTGGCGGCTGTTTGAAACTCACATGGCACAGATATGTCAGATTTTACAAGAATACTGCAAAGGGGTCTTAATTTATGGGTTAAATTTAGATGCAGAAGAACTTACTTGCATAGAGAAAATTGCCAAAGGACCTGGTGACTTTTAAAGGAACAATTCAGTGCCATGAAGTTACGTTTTCTGATAATTATTTACTTCTAAATCTTCGAAAACTAACATGTTTAAATTATCCACCACCCGATGTATATGAACACTATCCATTGGGAAGTTATCCTTTACAATGTATCCTTTATTTTTACTTAAACCTTAAACCTTAAATTCATTTCATTATTCTTGAAATAGCAACAGTATTTTTTTCTTAACTCTATTATTTTAGCTCATTCTTCCGCTAAAAGGAAAATTAAGTATGCTGATGTGTACAGCGATGAAGATTCCGACAAACAAGATCAAGTTGAAAACGATGCTGAGATTCTGTCTCTACAGAATGTGAAAGAAAATGATTTCGTCGTTGTAAAATTTCCTGGTAAAAAAACAACTCAACATTTTGTTGGAGTGGTCCAAGAATGTAACCAATATAACTACCTAGTTAAATTTTTCCGAAAAATGTCAGGCTCTAAAAAATTTGTGCTTCCTAGGAAGGAAGATATTTCTCTTATTAAAAAAAACGATGTGGTTTGTGTTTTGCCACAACCATTAATAAATAATATAAAGCAATATTCATTTTCAACAAATCTACCATTATTTTTAAATATTAATTAGAATAAAGTTACAATTTTTTTTCCAAATTGCCATTTTAAGTTTTGCCTGGTTTTGTCTAGTTTTGTTGGTTTTGTAATATTAGGTTTTAAGTTAATTTTGTTGTTGTATTTAAGTTTTAAATGTTTTGTAGGAGACAAAAATATATTTTTTTTTCAAGCGGCCATGATATACAACCTTATATGCATGTATAGAGATAGTTGAAGTACGTCTTTTTCATTAGCGGCAGACAAAAAACTCAAAAAAGCCTAGGGATAGAAGTAAATCCATAGGTGACTCAATAGACGTCAAATAATAAAATTAATTTAGCATTTCATACAAAGCAATCACGATGTATTAATTATATTAATTATAATCGCACGGAATATTTAGTGATTATTTATTAAATTTTAATTGAACGAAATAAAGAACAACTAGTTTATTAGTATAATATTATGATGATAGACGAGTCGCCAATGTCGGAACTCCAAACAAAATTTGTCACCTGAGAATTATAGTGTTCTATCTGCATTTTTTTTTAAATTAAGGTTAGACTTGTTTTAAGTCTTAAAGATGCATATAGGGCTATCTATAAATAATTAAGGTAGAAATTGTACAGTTTAAGGATATTACGAACAGTGTTATAATGTTCCATCTATATATACTAGCTTATTTTTGGTGTTATAGTATTCTATCTGATCAGCCAATAGATTTACAGCATTTTTGCAGATAGAACAAATTAACACCAAGTTGTCAGTACGTTGTCACTTGTGACGTTTACAAAATTGTGTGTTTCTGCTGAATAAAATAGTGATTTTGCATAAAAATGGAAGAAAATATAAGGTGAGAAACAATTATTGCTTAATATTTATTGTTAATTTGTGTAGTTTATCAATAATGTCGAGATTTGGATCTAAATAAAAAGCAAAGTAAATACCTTTACCTCACTTTTTAAATCTTTAATTTTTAGTTATAAAAATAATGAATTTACAAACTTTAGTGGAGACGATAGTGATGTCGACCCTACCTACAAACCCAAAACAATTAATGAATATGGCAGGCTGTTGCAAAGTTATAATATAAACAATGATTCTGATAGTGAAGCTTCCGACGTGAATTTGAACAACCTATTACCAAATACTATAAAACCTCAGGATGGACTATGCAAGATAAGTGGGATTCTTGAAAAAGAGCAAGATCCAGATGTTAATGATCCCATGCATTGTGAAAAAAACAACAAAAAGTATAAGCTAATTTTGCTTGTAGCAGTGTGTGTATTTTATATATTTTTTTTGTATTTTCAGAAAACTTACTAGAAAGCGGCTAAGAAATGAGGCAGAATGGAAGAGAAATGTAAACAAGAAACTGTGTGAGCATGGACAATCTTATAAAGACGTAAAAGGTAAAAGTCGCAGAGCAAGAGAAATTAAAAACAAAAAAAATTGTGAAACCAGCTGCAAATTTAAATGTCAAACTAAAATAAAAGAAGATACTAGAATTATATTACATAGAAATTTTTGGGATTTATCTAATGAGGGAAAACTAAATTTTTTTAACAAAAATACTGCATGTTCTTTAAAAAAACGTAGTACTGTTAAAAATAATGATTCTAAAAGACAACGTGAATTTTCTTACAAATATTTTTTTAATGTTAATTATGAACAGATACGAGTTTGCAAGCAATTTTTTTTGGACACACTTGATATTAGTCAACGTCGTGTATCGTATTTTCATGAGAAAAAAAGGCAAATAGTGAGTGGAGTTCCTCTGCCAAGTAACCGTGGAAAACATACAAAAAAGACTATTTCCAGTGAGCAGCGAGATAGTGTAATATCTCAAATTAACAGTATTGCAAGAGTCGAATCTCACTATTGCCGCAAAAATTCTACAAAAGAATACTTTGATGTAAATTTAAATTTATCGAGATTATATTGTCTCTATGTGGAATGGTGTAATGAAAAAAATATTCTTCCAGTTAAAGAAAGCTTCTACAGACATACATTTAATTTTAAATTTAATATAGAATTCTTAAAACCAAAAAAAGATAGGTGTGATGTTTGTGAACTTTTACGGCTAAAAGAAAAAAGTAACAGCTTATTAGAAGAAGAACGTGTTCACTTTAACAACCACTCAATATCAAAAGAAATTACAAAAACAGAGCGTGAAAAGGATCGAAAAAATAATGAACCTGAAACTGCAGTCGTTTGCTTCGACTTAGAAAATGTGTTTGCTTTACCAAGGTCTAACATATCTACCTTTTTTTTATAGTAGGAAACTAAATACATATAATATGACCAGTCATTGCAACAAAAATAAAAGAGCATACTGTGCAGTATGGTCGGAGGGGCTTCATGGACGGACAGGACAGGATCTGGCCGCAGCTTTATGTAAAAATTTGAAAAACATTTTAGCTGACATACCAAATTTAAAAAAAATTATTTTGTGGTCCGATTCGTGTGTCCCACAAAATAAAAATAGTATAATGACAATGGCATTAAAGAAATTCATGGAAGAGAATCCTACTGTAGAGGAAATAATACAAAAATATTGTGAACCTGGCCATAGTTCTATACAAGAAGTAGATAACATACATAGTCAAACGGAAAAATATCTTAAGGGGCAAGAAATATTTAGTCCTTTGGCTTTACTTAGATTACTCCCACAAGTAAACAATAGAAATAAGTTTAAAGTTTACCACTTACAACAAACTGACTTTAAGGAATTCAAGATAGCTACTTTAGGCTACAATTTTAAGAATATCGCTTATGCGTCATTAAAACAAATTAAATATTTAAGATCAGAACCTATGAAAGTATACTACAAGTTAAATCACACAGACCCAGATTTTTTGGCAGTAGATTTAACGACTGTTACAACACGAAAAAACCTAATAAGGCCACTTAATGTTTCACAAAAATTGCCAACACTAAAAGCATGCGCTCCTCCAAAAGAATGCTTGCTACCTTTGGCAAAAGTTATTGATTTATGTAAACTTTTTAAATTTATGCCACCAGTTGACACATTATTTATAAAGAAGCTATTTAAACAGTACAATGATCCTCACATTTTAAGACGACTAGAGAAGAGTAAAAAAAAAGAGGCAACAGTAGATCAATCTAAGAAATCTAAATATG